GGGGAGAGAGAGAGAGAGAAAGAGAGGAGCAGACTCCCTGCTGAGCAGGCAGTCCGATGCAGGGCTCAATCCTGGAGATCATGACTTGAGCAGAAGGCAGACGCTTAACCAACTGAGCCACCCAGGTGCCCCTCAGACTAGTTGCTACTAAACAATTCTACATGTAATAGAGTAATATTTAAGAAAGAAAAAAAAAAGAATCCGACCATTTCCAGTCCCTGATTTAACATTCTCCACGGCCTCTTAGCCAATCCCCTTGTGCTGGCCTAACAAGGTATTTTATCATCTATATGGTCTGTCTGCTTCTTCCATCTCACGTCCCCCTAGTCCACTTGACACTCCACCCCCTCCTCCTCCTCCTCTCCTACTTGCCAGTCACACCTAGTTCTTTCTGTTCTTAGAACACAAGTTCATTCTCACCTCTGTTCTGCCTAGAAGCTCCTGGATATGGCTGCTCATGGTATTTGTATATTGTCTGTCTCGCCACACTGATATAAAGTTCCATGAGAACAAGTACCATGTTTATCTTATTTACCACTATGACACCACTTAGAAGAGTATCTAACGTGTGGTGTACACCCAATAGGTACTTATTGAATTAATAAAACTATAGTTTAAAGGGCTCAAAGTTTTAAGGGTAGGGGTGAAATGGCAGATGAAAAAAAAATATTAAACCATTAAATAATATCAAAATATTAACTTCACAAAGTACCAGGATCTAGCAAAACTTTGACATTAGGATGAACATTTCCCTTGACCAAGTAGTTTTCAATGTAAAAAAAAAAAAAATCTCTTCTATCAATGACAATATCCTAATTGCGATAGTATGCACAGTTTTGCAAGATAGTATCCTTGCAACAAGAAGATAAACATGATCTCTCTGGTATTTCTTACTATTGCATGTTAATCTACAATTACCTTAAAATAAAGTTTATTTTTAAAAATTCTAATCTACAGATACTATTCAGCCTGCTTCTGTAGTACCACCCCAAGATGTATTCTTCCAATGAATATTCTGTGGTGACAAAAGCTCTCTTGGAATTTAGAGAAATAAAGGAAGTCTCTGTTTCCGGTACATGATACATTTTTCCTGCAGCCGAGAACATCAGACTCCGTTCTTAACCACACACAGCACCTGGCCCATAGTCGGTGTTCAATAAATATTTATTCAGTGAGCTAATTATTTCTGAGAAAGCCAAAATGACCGAGGCATCGGCTGTGACCCTCTACCACTGCGTGTCGCAGCGTTCCAACAGGGAGAGACACCGACTCTAAACTGTTCACACAGCCCTTCGTCTTAAACAATAAAATGCCCAAAATGCAGTTGACCCTTAACCACATATATTACGCAGTTGTTCCCTAGAAATTGCCTTACACACTGAAGTAGGACAAAGAAATACTATCAGACCACTTAAAAAATCCTATTCTTTAATTACTGAAATAGCCTTGGTCTAACCTATTAGGGCCCTTTCCAAACATTAACTAGTAAATTTGTGCTTTGGGAAGGACAACTGCATCAGTAAGTAATTGTACACACGAAGAGTACCTACTTATCAATTTTGGTCAAGGATGAAGTATCTGGGGGCACCTGGGTGGCTCAGTCGTTAAGCGTCTGCCTTTGGCTCAGGTCATGATCTCAGGGTCCTGGGATCGACCCCGCACCGGGCTCCCTGCTCCTCGGGAAGCCTGCTTCTCCCTCTCCCACTCCCTCTGCTTGTGTTCCCTCTCCGTGTTTCTGTCAAATAAATAAAATCTTAAAAAAAAAAAAAAAAAAAGGGATGAAGTGTCTGAATCTCCTGGTTGTGTTGATTTTTTCCTTGTATTTCTATTTAGAGAACAGTTAATGGATAAAACAGAATGCTTTTCTATTTTATCAATCCCTTCAGCCAATGAGATATTACGAAATGTTTTGGGGACTAACATCCTCTAACAGAATAAGTATTTTAATTTCACTTATCATTTTATAACTTACAATCTTAAAGTTACAAATTAAAATTGGTTACTTAAAATTTTGATATCAAGTTCTGAGCATTTTTCTTTTATCAATATGTAACCATGAACACTTCCTCCTTTACCCCACATTTCCCCACAGACCGTCTAAACTGAGCTCTAAACCAAGTCCAGTGGCTTCTGCCCTTGAACCTGGTTAGTTCAATACACCAAGTATTCAATTTAACACAGGAGTTGATTTAAACAGATAACGAGCAGGAAACTCACAGCTGAAGGTAAAACCAGCTCTTGACATGCCCCATTGTTCCTTAGCATACTAAAGCACCCATCCCATTAGGTGACCTCCTATCTCATCTGAACTAAATACCAAAGCTGAATGCATCTCTTTAAGGCACATGTAGCCTCATCCTTGAATTTCCAGATTTCAATCACCGTTGTCCTTTCTCATTTCTTTTCTGAAGTGGCAGCTTTTCTAAGAGTAACCAAAGAAAAACAGGTTTCATTTGGAGGAGGCAGTTGGGAGACTAGTATATCCTCCTCTGTCGTGCAGAAAAGAGTCTTTGAAGCTTAAATTTAGAAGATTTATCATCCTTAATATTAACACTGTCCTATGAATGAAGAAACTAGATTAACAAGTAAAGCTTAAAAAACCCAAAATAACAGGGAAGCCAAACTTACAGTTCTTCATGCTATCACTACACAATTGTAGGATCTAAATACTATACACAAGTGAACTTTAGAAGTTACCTGTAAAGATGAACTTTTTCTACCCCTAATTTTGGCATTGACCCTAATACTTAACTTCCATCAGAACAACTCCTTTTCTTTTTTCCTAAACCTTCAGATTGCAGACCATATCCATACTCAACCACAGAACTAGGCCATGAAAAAAGTAAAGCAAATTCCTGTTTTGGGGAAGAAAATTTCAGTTTAGTTGGAATTTCGAGGAGTACACTAACTTGATACGTATTTCACGTGGTCCATTTGAAAACAGCTGTCTTTAAGAGAGACTTACCTTCAAGTAAGTTCAATTGCACATCACCATGGTTATTCATGCCCTTTCCAGGCCAGTTATTTTTTTACCCTGAAGAATGACAGAAGACGAGACAAAACCCTTGAAACACCATCTCGTAGACTGGCAGCCTCATTTACAACAGAATAAGGCCTCCTTCAGGTTAGACAACAAGGTGGCAAAGTTACTTGGAAACTGGGCCACCTAAAACTTCTCCCTTTGTTACAGTTTCATTTTTTTTTTTTTAAGATTTTATTTGACAGAGAGAAAGACAGGGAGAGAGAGAGAGAGCATAAGCAGGGGAAGCAGCAGAGGGAGAGGGAGAAGCAGGCTTCCTGCTGAGCAGGAAGCCCGACATGGAACTCGAACCCAGGGCCCTGGGATCCCAACCTGAGCAGAAGGCAGACGCTTAACAACTGAGCCACCCAGATACCTCCAGGCTCATTTTTCTTAAAAATGTTTTTGGAGCGGCTAGAAGAGCATTTCTGTCAGTATGTGCAGGCTTGTGATCTGTATGCAAGATAGCATCACACAACTGAAAAGGAAATTAAGAATTCTATTCTCATGGGGCGCCTGGGTGGCTCAGTCGGTTAAGCGACTGCCTTCGGCTCAGGTCATGATCCTGGAGTCCCGGGATGGAGTCCCGCATCGGGCTCCCTGCTCAGCAGGGAGTCTGCTTCTCCCTCTGACCCTCCCTCCTCTCATGCTATCTCATTCTCTCTCTCAAATAAATAAAATCTTAAAAAAAGAATTCTATTCTCAGTCACATCAAGAATAAAATACTTAGAATTTAACAATAAAAAGTGCAAAACTTATACTCGAAAAGTACAGAACATTATTGGGAGCAATGAAAGAAGACCTCAATCTAAGGAAAAACTTCCCATGCTCATGGATTACAAGATTTAACATTGCTAAAATGCCAATACTCCCCAAACTGATCTACAGATTCAAAACAATCCCGATCAAAATCCCAGCTGGCTTCCTTAGACACTAAGCACTAACCACTAAGAAAAGATGATTTACAAAAATGAGGAGGGGCGCCTGGGTAGCTCAGTCGTTAAGTGTCTGCCTTCTGCTCAGGTCATGATCCCAGGGTCTTGGGATCTATCCCCGCATCTCTTTCTCCCTCTCCCTGGCACTCCCCCTGCTTGTGCTCTCTCTCTGTGTCAAATAAGTAAGTAAAATCTTTAAAAGAAAAAAAAAAAAAAGAATGAGGAGTACGGGGTGCCTGGCTGGCTCATTTTGAAGAGCAAGAGACTCTACATCTCGCAGTTCTGAGTTCAAGCCCCATGTTGGGTGGAGTTTACTCAAGTAAATAAAACTAAGAAAAAAAAAAAAAGAAAAGTACATCTCACATTTAGGAGTTACTTTGATTTGTAGATTAGGGTGTTAGAAACGTTGAAACAGGCATCCCTACATTAGTCCTAACCCTGTACCTCTAGGGCTCTCCCAAGGTAGCATTTATTGAAAACTCACATATAAGCCCTGCTACCCAAACCAGGCCTGTTCTGTAATGTAACCTAATCACTGCCAGGTTCGTTTGATGGCAACACTCCCAAATCCACCTGGAAAAAATTTGTGGGGGCGGAGTGATGGGAGCTGAGGGAAATCTGCAAAAACAAACAAAAATGAAAAGAGGAAAAAATGTTCCCTGACTTCCTTCCATAGGGTCAGAGGTTTTAAATACATAGAGGAGAAAATATTCTAAAAATCTTGAACATCGCATTTTCTTGTAAAAATCTGCAAGGCAATTTCCGTTAGATAAATGGGACAAATGTTATACTGTTTGATGTGAGTCACCCTATTTATCCATGCCACCCGAAGAGCTGAATTAGCATACGGTGCACCCATCACACTAATACCACAGGTTACGTGCTTCCAGTCCCAGTAAATGTCCTTCACCAGGCTTTAGGTAGAAAAGCTAACTTCTCTTAACTAAAAAGTTAAGCCAAGACTAGCTTATAGATTATAATACTTCTCTCTCCCCAAAGACCGTTTAAGAGCTATCCTTTAAAAAAAAAAAAAAGCACACACATGGTAAATTTATGCCACTAGAGGGATTTATTCTTCCATTAAATAAAACTGTAGCACTCTGAACTGTATTCAGAGCTGCAATTCCATCCAAGATTTATGTTAAGATTTTTTTCTTACATGAAAAACCAGACTCCCAGTGAAAAGAAAAATAAAATCGCTCAGGGAAAAAGGTTTGAAGCCCTCCAAATTAATTTCATTTACATTTGAAAATAAAGGCAGATGTTACCACTTTACACTGATGGATGTCACAGAATCTACACAGGCACCTCCGTACACAACACATAGCCCATTATAGCCATTCGACACCGAGCTCTCCCTTGAAGGCACAGAGAGGCACACGGTATTTCCCTTGCTGAAGAGGCTCAAGGTTTTAGTTTAGAGAACCCGACATTAACGACAGGTGCACTTAGTGGCTATCATGTCTTCATATTCTTTGTAAGCAATTGAGCCATCTGGCTCGATGGTCAAAACACTGAGAGGGCTGTATTTAGCAGGCACACACGATGGTCTTGGCACCGAGGAGTCGAGCTTCTCGTGGATGATGTTCTGCACCATGGTGTGAACTGGCGAGCCATACCGATGTCCAACTGCCCTTGGACAGTCCCCTTTACAGTATCGAGGGTTGTATCTGGGCGGGGCCACGATCCAGTTGTCCCACTTCAGCTGGCTGAAGCTCAGCCTGAAGTCATGGAGTTCACACTCATGTTGGGGAAAAAGAAACTGTTTGAAGTATTCACTCAGATTCAAAGAAGCTGGAGCCCGAGGCTTGTTCAATGGCAAGCTGATGGTTTCCTGACCTCTCCGGTGACGAGGAGATCTTACACCCTCAGCCGACCCTTCTCCCTGGGGGCAGACGGACAGACCCCTGTTCTGGTCGGCACTCCGTGAAGGTCTCCGTTTATAGTGAAGGGAACACCACCCATGATAAGCCTGAGCGCTTGTGTCATTCAGATATAAAAGCAGTGAGGGGGGCACCTGGAGGGTCACATTAAATGGCCTGTCCTGAGCTGAAGGATCCTGCCCCTGGTCTCTCGTGCAGGTAAAATTTACAGACATGTGAATACTTTTCTTGTTGGAGGCCACTAGAGGCTGAAGAAGAGTGGTCACATCAACTTCAAACCATGTGTATTTCTTTTTCAATTCAAACTGTAAGTTAAAGGTAAATGAGGACAGAGCTCTATGGGGGGTCCTGCTAGAAGACTCGGGCTCTTTGATCACCAGGTTGCACACACATTTAACAGCAGAGGGAAAAGAAATGGAGTTGCTGAAAGTGTATAGCAAGACTGACTTCAATAAGTTTTCAACGGCAGTAACACGATCCAGGTTAAACAGCAGGTCCACTGATGGAACGGATCCTGAGAAGAAAAACAACCCACCAATAGTGCTTTAATACAAAAACATAATAGCAAGTCAAATCAAGGCATTTATCCTTCATAATGCATTTTCTCCCTTCTCTTTCCCCACTTCCTCTAGCCTTAAAAAGGGTGGGGGGTGGTTTTAGAGAAAATACTGGGGATAGGTACCATAATTAACTGCCAGTGAGTACAACTGGCTATTTTATCACCAGAAATTCTGAACAGCTTTGGTGGTGAATAAAAACAACAGAGAATCATTACATTTCCCAACCTCTAGTTTCCCGATCTCAGTAAAGGACTCCAAACATAGAAGAAGCTAGTAAATACTATTTTTCCTCTTGGATAGTCTCTGGAGAGATCACTGTAATAAATACGCTTACCAGCCTTGTTAAAAACACTTTCTAAGCCCTAATGAACAGAGTCAATAAAGATCTTAATGGTCTAATTTGGGACCCTTGAGATTGATGACAAATGGAAGCTTTAAAACCAATCTCATAAAATAAGACCTCAAGGAAGAAGGAAAGGTTTTAAACAGCCACAGCTGACCCGTTGGGTTAGAATGGTTTTGGTCGTGAGCTAGTGAACCTAGGTTGTTTGTTTTTTTTTTAAAGCACCGCTCCTTTCTCTCACACACATAGGACTCCAAGGTGCTGGGTCAGATTAATGACTAACACTTTGTTGTTGGGAGGACCTACTGTTCCAAATGCTGTCTTCAGTCGGCCTCTCACAGAAAGCAACAAACAAGGGAAAAACATCCTATTTAACACAATACACCAGTAGCTAGGAGGCGTTTCAGACACATTTCCAGGTCAGCACGAATAGAATGGGAATAATAAGCAAACAGAGGTCAAAATACCAGGTTTCCAGTCTTGATTTTGTGACTTTGGACAAGATGCTGACCTCCAGCAACACTCTGCTCAGTCTTTAGAGCCATTAAGTCTCTTGTAGCTCTGAACTTTACCCTATGAGCCCACGTTAATCCATGAGTGCATTAGAAAGAAACAGTAAGGTCAAGTACCAGATTTGTTTCAATGTGGATACTGAGTATCATGCAAAATAAAGAGTAATTCAAAGAGCAAGGCCCAGCTCCATTCTGTAACTGAAACACAGACAGGTCTATCAGCTTCCCACCACCCATTAACCAATCTGCTCCTACACACCTGTTGCCTGGTCCCCAGGAGCCTGCTTGTGCTGGGCACAGGATGTGAAGAGCCGAACAGTGTTGTAGAGAGGACTTCTGTTGGATTTAGGGATCCCCTCCTTGGTAGCATACGCCTTATAGAGCCTCTTCATGTAGTGCAAAGCTCTGGAGTCTGGCTGCAGCCTAGGAGTGCCACCTTGCCCATCATACAGAACCTTGAAAAGAGGAGAAAGGAAGCCAGATCTGTCTCTTCCATCTAGAGGCCGCAACAAAGACCAAGGCTCAGCCTCAGATTCCAACTCAGCACCAGCTGCAATTTGAGGTTCTCCTCTAGAAGCCTGAGAACCAAGGCTAATAGGGAAACACAGCCAGGAAAAGCAGAAAAACCAAAGGAAGAAGTTGCTAAGAAGCGCCATGGCCTGAAAGAACTAGCAAGGAATACATTTCCCCCTACCAGTCTTCTTGCTAAAAGCCAGGAAGAGCCTGGGTCAATCTCTTAAATAAATTTTAGGTGTGTGGGTAGGCGAGGGTCACTTCTGTAATCAGACCTCAAGGATGCCTAGCTGAAGATAATTTTTATCAGCTGTGCATCAAACCGCTGATAACGTCCTATTTATCCAATTTGTCCTCATTAGATACAGATGCATGTGGTTATTTAGCTTTCCTCTCCCCCTTTTTCCCCTCTCCCTTTTGAAGAGGCATTTATTTAAAACCTCTTAGGTTATTGTTAGGCCAATGGACTAGTTATGCAAGCTGAAAGGCCAAGAGAATTGAGAAATGATCTTAAAACCACCCATTTTTTTGAGATTAGGATTCTTAATACGTTCCTTAGGTGCTTGCTGAAACTTTCAAAGCAAGTGGGAAAGCTACTCATGATGATAAGATCTGTTGATATGCAGTGTATTGGATTCACTCTTGCTCTCCATCCTCATCACCGCTCCCACTTCCAGGTGCTTAGAATAATTACTTACTGCATGTTGATTTGGGAGTGAGAAAAAGTCACAATTGGCATTGAAATTCCAGAGAGCAGAGAACTGTTCGGTTGCCCAGTTCTCAGGGAGCTTCCTATGGAATATGTACTTGGAATACTGAAATATGCTTTAAAAAGGACATCACCTTTAACCTTGACTCATTTTTATTTATTTTTAAAGATTTTATTTATTTATTTATTTGACAGAGACACAGCGAGAGAGGGAGCACAAGCAGGGGGACTGGGAGAGGAAGAAGCAGGCTTCCCGCAGAGCAGGGAGCCTGATGCGGGGCTCAATCCCAGGACCCTGGAATTCTGACCCGACCTGAAGGCAGACGCCTAATGACTGACCCACCCAGGCGCCCTTACTCATTTTTAAATATAATATCTTGATCCTTTGGTCTGCACATTCATCTATATATATTTTGGTTGAAAGGTTTGGAGATGTTTGCAGGTTTTTTTTTTAATTTTAATTTTTAATTTAATTTGCTAGGGTGTTTTTGTTCTTGGTATAAGGACTTAAGTTCTTGGAGCTGAGACAAGGCTAGAGATGATGTTTTAGGAAAACGAGACAAAGGTGCGCCATGAAAGCCTGAAATGAGGGCATCTCCAGTGCACCCGCGAACAGACCATGCTGGAAGGAAGTCAACCCCCACTCATGGTACGAGATTCAAAAGCAGTCGGTGCAGTACCTAGCTTGATGAAACCGAGGTATGCTTGCAAATTTCAAGTTCATTGCCTGCCAAGACTCCCTGGCCCCTGGCTAGGAGGCAGGGTTCCATAAAACACACGCCAACTGTTGAACGACAGCTTACTCCGACATCACATAATGGCCGGCAATTCCACGAACAAAACATTTACAGACGCTCTGTTTCGGGCAGAAAGGCCAGGCCCGCAGCAGCCTTCCGCAGAAAGTGCTTTCGGAAACGCCGAGAACGCCCGCGGGGCAGTGGGGAAGCGAGGGCGGTGGGACCTACCCGGCTGCGCAGCGCGCCCCCGGCCAGACCTGGGGGGCAGGTGGTGGCAAGCCCGCGGCTGCGGAGGTGGCCTCGTCCCTCCTACCGCCACCCCCGGCCGGTTAGCAACTCTTTGCCCATTCCTTGGGGACTCCTCCTGGGGCGCAAGTTGAGGAAACGTTTTTATTCTCCCCGGGGACAGTCTAAGCCCCGGCCGTGGACTCTCGGACCGCGGCGGCCGAGAGAAGCCCCAGATGCACGTCTCTGATCCTGGTACCGGGGTCGCTGATGTTCTGAAAAGAACCGACCCCTTTAGCGCCCGGACCGGAGCGTCGAAGGCCGCATGCGGCGGCCCCTCCTCCGGCCTCTGGGCGCCCTCCACAGGCCCTCGACGCCGGCTGGCCCTTCCCTACACCTCTCTGCACCCCTCGGCGCCGGCCGCTCCCTGCGGTGACAGGAGGCTGAGGGGTGGCGTGAAGGCCTCGCGGGGCGCCCCCCGGCCGCAAAGCCCGTTACAGCGGGGAGTCCCGCGCTTGGCCCCGCCCTCCCCCGGCCAGGGCACTTCCCCGCAGAAGGGGGAGCAACGGCGCCTCCCCCTGGAGACGGCCGGAAATGGTATTCCCCGGAAGTGACTTCACGGCCTCCCGGACCGGCGTCCAAACCCAGCGGAAGTGACGGGCGGAGACCGTTGGTTCCCGCGACTGTGGTGGGCGAGGTGGGCCCCGCGCGGGAGTGAGGTCCGGTCGCGCGGTCGTGGGGGTCCCTGGGAGGGTGGGGGCGCCGCCTGGGCCGGGAAGGAGGAGGAGCTCCGGGGAGGGCGTCTCGGGTCGGGGGCGGCGCGTCCCGGGACTGAGGCAAGCGCCCGTTCACCCTCGGTCTTGCAGGCGCCGCCGCCACCATGGGCCGCGAGTTTGGGAATCTGACCCGGATGCGGCATGTGATCACCTACAGCTTGTCGCCCTTCGAGCAGCGCGCCTTCCCGCACTACTTCAGCAAGGGCATCCCCAACATGCTGCGCCGCGCGCGGGCGTGCGTGCTTCGCGTCGTGCCCCGTGAGTGCCTTGGCCCGGTTGGGGGGCCGGACTCCGTCAGACGCCGAGTGACAGCGGGCCCCTCAGGGAGCTCCCTCTACTTGCCACACACACGGTTTCTCATGCTTCAGTGTTCGTGAAAGCCCTTGCGCTAGTGTATCTTCCCCATCTTACAGGGGAGCAAACTGAGTCACAAACGACCGGCCCAAGGTCACTTGTGTGATTCCAGCGTCTCCCTCCGAGGTCATCTTTACCCACTTCGTAGCGATGAACTGTTACGTGTGAGATATGCCCCAGATAGTGATGATAGCAGGACGGCATTGTGAATTGGCAAAAAAAACAAACAAACCCCACAGAAGTGTGCACTGGCGTGTTAAATGGTGAAGTATATGTTACTGAATTATGTCTCACTTATCTCTAACATTTAAAAAAATGTGCAACTGGGGAGAGAGAGGGAAGGTTTGGTGACAGATTTTCCTGGGATGGCCCTTTCTTTTGGTCACCTGCAAAATGGGTGTATGATGTAACCTTCCTTGATCGTCTGGTTTAAAAGTGGCTTCTTGGAAACTAGAGACAGTAGGGCAGAGCCTGCAGTGAGTCAGAAAAGAAGCCTGGGATCCTGGGGTCTTCCGTGGGCTCGATGCTTACTCTCACTTTTGATTTTTAAAGCGTTTGTAGGATTTTACCTTGTCTACACATGGGGGACCCAGGAATTTGAGAAATCCAAGAGGAAGAATCCAGCTGCCTATGAAAATGACAAATGAGCCATTCATCTGGATAGTGGTTCCCAGTGTCTGAAGGATCCTTCTCTGGGAGAGGAGTCTACACTGTAGTGTCTTGAAGACTTGAAGACGTAATAAACTTCTTATGGATTGCACTGTTGTGATTTTGCATTTTTGTGAGCAAGTCCTTGGTGTGACTGCTGATGCTCAAGTTCATGAACTCCCCTTCCTAGCATGAGTCCTGAACAGTTTGGCTAGTCCGCGAGTTTGGTGAAGGATCTGGGCTCAGTGCTTGTTCTCTAACCTACAAGAAATTAGCGGCAGTTACTCCTGCAGCTGATGAGTGGTGGGTGGCATGAACTGTGGGCTTGGTTCCTCCCATAATAATAAGATCTGGTAACTATATTATAATTACTGTGTGTCAGGTATTTAGCCCTTTACACAAATAAGTACTTGTAAACTGCAAAACTACCTTTGAATTAAGTAGTAGTATTGCATTCATTTTGCAGATGAGGACCCAGGAGCACAGTGAGAGTAATTTGACCAAAATGACAGAGCTAATGAATGGTGGGAGTCTGGCACTAAAGTTTTTGCTCCTAAAGCTTTCCTAGACTGCCTTTCCCCACTAAGACAGGCCTTCCTTACCCTGAGGGGAAGGAAGTCAGCTATAAAAGGAGGGGGTGAGGTCACTCCTTGGCCTCTAGAGCTAAACTGCCTGTGTCTACCAGGTTGCCAGTGGTGGGCTTTAATCACATATGGCCCATAATGCTTAAAATATTTACTCTCTGGCCCTTTATTGAAAAACCCCTGTTCTAGAGCCTTTGAATTCTCTTTTTTAGTAGAAAGGTGCCCTTTTTCCTTCACCAGGAGATGGTAGAGGTAGGTGTTGGTAGTGTTATGCTTCTGGTTCCCTGCTCCATTTCCAGAAACTTCCTCACTTTTTTTTTT